GGTAGTGGAGGAAAGGCCATCATGCTCTGTCCTACTTCCATTTCTGGCCTTTCCTTTAAAAACAAAACCAAACATAACATAACATAACATAACATAACAAAACATAACAAAAACAGAACTATTTCTTATGGTCAGTGGAAGAAGTCAAACTTTCATGTTCCCCTTCAGATGGGGGTGAAGCAATCCTGGGACCTGATGTTCCGGAGAAGTACAGCTGCTGGCTTCAAGCTCCCGGGACTCTGATTTCTCTAGGGTTGGTGGCTTGGTTGAAGGAACTGAAGATATTTAGCTTGAAGGAGAGAAGCCTTAGGGAATGAAGATCACTGTTGTCAGACATTTGGAGGGCAGCCATAGTTGGGGAGGGTTTAGACATATTTAGTTTTGCCCCACATCTCGGAATGAAAAGCAGTGATTGGTTGGAGATCACAGAGAAGTAGATTTCCCACTGAGTATAAGAAAGGGCTTGCTAACAGAGCTTTGCAAAGGCACAGTCAGATTTAAAGCTGAAGGGGAAGTTAGAGGTCATTTAATATAACTCTTTTTTGACAGAGGAGGAAACAGAGGCACAGAGAATTAAGTGACTTACACAAGATCAGCAAGTGGCAAAATTGAGATTTGAACTCAGCTCCTCTGACTCCAAAGCTAGTATTCTTTCCACTGTACCACACGTTGGGACAAGTAGAATTGGCTTCCTCAGTCCCTGTCATTGGAGGGGCTTAGCTAATTTTTTTTTTTTTTAGCAAGAGGCTTTGCTCCAGAGGATCTCTTCTGTTCTAAATCTGCAAAATGGTCAGAAGTGCAGGAAAGGGCCAAATGGAACCCATCAGGTGCCTCCAACTTGGACCATGTCCCAATTACACAGCACAGATTGTACAGAGGACTTGCATTCCATTTATGGGAGGAGTGGAGAGAGTCAAAGCCAACAGTTGAAGTCAAGGAGGAGGATCTTGTTCAAAAGCTTTCTGAAATTTTCTAAGGGAATTTATTGAGAAAACAATTGAAGGTCATTACAAAATGTGTGAGAGGGCCCCAGGGGATATAAGAGAATGCAGGTTCCTTGAGGGCAAGAACTGCTTGGCTTTTGCCTGTGTATAGAATATACAAATTCTTTACTTTGTATAGAATTATGCCAGAATAGAACTGGAACATTGCTGTTGTTCAATAGTTTCAGTCCCATCTGATGCTTCGTGACCCCATTTGAGGTTTTATTGACAAAGATACCGGAGTGGTTTGCCATTTCCATCTCCATCTCATTTTACAAATGAGGAAACTGAGGCAAACAGCAGTTAAATGACTTGCCCAGGGTCACCCAGCTAGTAAGTGTCTGAGGCTGGATTTGAACTCAGGTCTTCCTGACTCTAGGCCTGGCACTCTATTGCACTAATTATCACTCTGTATCACCTCCTTGTCCAAGCTGGTAAACATTTGGTGAATGAATCTCAGACGAGGAGCTAGGACACTGACAGAAGCACTGGCCTGGTGTGGATATTGCAGAGAGAACACCCTCACCTGTCATCAGCAGAGATGGTTAGAATCAGATCTGTTTGCGTTCACTTCTTATCTCCTTCACTGATTTCCCCAAGAACAGGAATTGTGCCATTTTCAAAATCTTTGCATCTTTAGCACCAAGCACGGTGCCCTGCAGTTGGCACAATGGCCACAATGCTGGTTCTGGAGTCAGCGTACCCAGGATAAAATTCTAGCCCTACTGCTTACTAGTAACCTGTGTGACCTCGGCAGAGTTACTGAATGTCTCTGGTCTCAGCTTCCTCATCTACAAAAGGAGAGAGTTGGCTTGGGTGACCTCTGAAGTTCCTCCTGGATCTAAATCAATCAGTTAACAAGCATTTATTGAGGACTTGTTATTTGTCAGGCTCTGTGCTTAGAGCTGGGGATATAAAGAAAGGCAACAATGTGGTCCCTTAACCATAGAGCTTTCATTCTCCTGGGTAAGACAACATAGAAATAACTATGTATATACAATGCAGTGTGTATGGAAGGTGATCTCCCAAGGGAAGTCACTTGCAGCTGGAGGTGGGGTGGGGAAAGGAGGACTGGGAAAGGCTTCCTACAGAAGGAAGGATTTAAGCAGAGTCTTGAAGGAGGCCAGGGAATCTAAGAGGCACAGGTGAGCAGAGAGCATTCCAGGAATGGGTGGGAGACAGGAGTTGTGAGGTGGAATTTCATGTGTGAGGAATAACAAGGTCAATGTCACTAGAATGTAGCTGACATGGAAGGAAGGAAAGTGTTAAGAACACTGGAAATGGAGGAAAGGGTCATCTCATGAGGAAGTCTATAAATGCCAAATAGAAGATTTTATATTTGAACCTGGAGGTAATAAGGAGGGACTGGAGTTTGTTGAGTAGGGTCAGATTTGTGCTTTAAGGAAAATCCCTTTGGGGGCCAAGTGGCAGATGGATTGGAGTGGGGGGCCACGGAGGCAGGAAGATAATCAGAAGGCTCGTGTGAGGCAGCAAAGGCTTATGCCGGGGTGGTCGAAAGCAGAACTCTGATTATGTTTGATACTTAACACAGAGGACAATGGGCATAGACCCAGGTGAGCCGGACTGGAATAGTGAGAGACTTAGCCTCTTTGTACTTTTCTGGGGCAAGGTACAGCACTGATTAGAACTTTGGACTCTACACCTTTAAGCTTAGTTTTCTTAAGGATCAGGAGCAATGCTATGGGTCCTAGTATTCTAGACTCATAAGATTTCAAGTAGGAAGACACCTGAGAGAGGTTGTAGTCTTCCCTTTGGAGAACTGGGGCATGTGAACAGAAGCACACTGTCTTGAGGAAAGGGGGACGACAAAAATGGAATAACCCTATTTTAGCACTCGAAGGATCTTAGATCTTTTAATCATGCTAATTCTCTGCTTCATTTCTTATCTAGTCTTAATCACTGAATGAGCATTGCCTCAGTCAAACTGAGACCCGGGAAAGACCTAAGCTTGAAAAGGCCAAGGTCTCCCACTGCATCTTGGGCCATCTCCAGTCATCCTGATCTATATCTTGCCAATGGACCCAGATGGCTCCAGAAGAGAAAGTGAGGGTGGTGACTTTGTGCAACCCTCTCTCACTTAAATCCAATTCACTTGCATGTTGTGCCATCATCTCTCTGATGTCATGGTCCTCTTCAAGAACAAAGGACAAACAACAACAATAACATAGATTTAGAGCTGACTGGGACCCCATAGGTCATCCAGTCTAGTTTCCTCATGAGGAAAATTAGAACCAGAGAAATAAAAATGGCTTCCCCATTGTATTATGTCTCAAGATGATACAATAAGTGACAAGGGTAAGATTCAAACCCAGGTTCTCTGCCCTCAAATCTAGTGTCCTTTCCATTTTTCTATGCTTATTCCAGACCACCCCTTCTTTGTACAGATGAGGAAATTAAGCCCAAGAGAGGAGAAGTAATTGGCTCATGATTACACCAGGAGTTACAGGCAGTATCACAATTAGAATCTGGGTCTCTCTGCTCAGTGTCTAGTGTTCTCCCTTCCTACCCTCACTATATCACTCTGCCTCATGAGAACCATAAATCCAGAGCTCAGAGAACATTCAACTGGAACAGAGTTTGTGTATATTTTTTCTGCAGAGAAATTGTACTTCATGTGCCTCATGAGCAATGGAGAATACAGTTCTTAACTTCTGTCTCCTGAGAATTCTGACAGCTCCCTCAGATGCTGTCAGATTCTCCTTTTTCCTGGACTCTCCTTTCTGTCCCTCTTTTGTTTCACCGTGAATCTTTACATCAACAACATTCCCTTTCTACCCTCCAGGGGATTGAGCTGTCTGGGGGGGATCAGTTTTATGAAAGGGAATAGGTCTGTTGGGGCTCTGATTCTGTCAAGGACTCCAGAACATTCGATACAATCATTCACAGAGAGCCAGGGTGCCATGTTCTGTTATGTTGGGGTAGCAGTGACTTATTTCTTCCCTCTTGTGAGAAATGTGGATCAGTTGAAGAAACTGGGGATGGTTGGCCTGGAGAATAGAAGTTGGAGGTGGGGAGAGGATATGATAGCTGTCTTCATTTTTTGAAAGAGTATCATGGGAAAGATGGATTAGCTTTGCTCTGCTTGGCTCAGTGGGCAGAATGAAGAGCAATGGGGTGGAAGGCAGATTTTGTTAATAGTAATGGAAAAACTTTCTGATGATTAGATGTAGGCTATGTGGGCCCATGTAAGATATGTCTGTCCACATTGCTTGTTTAAATAGAGAGATATGTGTATAAAGTGAAGCATGAATAAGTATCTTAGGAATTTGGCCTACCTCTCTCCAATAGAGACTGAGATTTTCTTTTTGACAGAATCAAGAGAAGGATCATGGCTGAATATGTGCTCCTTCCTCCACCTATCTCTAACAGGGCATTGAACTAGATTTATTTTTGTCTGTGTCTACAGATATTGCTGGTTTAGGGATATGATTTTTTGAAGTTCAAAAAAATTATTCTTAAGGGGGAAAGGCCTTATGCTGACTAGTTTAACTCCTTTCCACCAAATTCTTGTTATACAAAAGACCATGACAAATAGCGGACAGTAAGGAAATTCATTTATCCAAGCAAAAAAGCAAACTGAAATCAGAGAAGTTCTGTGGATTAGAATATATCAGAAAATGTACAAGAGTGAATGAAATCTTTAGCTAAGAGTGAGATGAGATTGCAGCTCAGATTAAGAGAAAAGACTGGATCTCATCAAGGGGAAGTTCTCTGAAGTCTCTGGGGAAGCAACTGGGAAATCAGAGAAATGTTGAAGATATAGTTTCCGTTACATGTCTGCAGCTTCTCACTATGTCTTTCTCCCAAAGAGTCTCTGGAAACTGCCATCCACTCCAAGTCTTACACAGTTACACAGTATCTCCTCACTATTCTCTCTACCAGTTAGGCATTATTTCTGCTCCTTTCCTACTCCACTTTGGTGGGAGCTGGGTAGTTACATAGAATTGTCCTGAAGTAGAATTGCCTGCCTTGATTAGTAATTTTCCATCCCTGTAGGTATTCAAGTGAGGGCTGGAATCTACTTGCTTTGCTGAAGATGGTTGTAAAGGAGTTCCTGCTCATCTACAGGAAGACCCAGATGACTTTGTAGGTCCCTTCTAACTCGGAGTCTCTACATTAATACCATAACTGAATACTAGTTACTTGTATACATCTTTTCAGAAAGTTCTTTGTAGATTGTAAAGTCCTTAGATAAATGGAAGACATTATTATCTCATCTACTAATCTATAAGCTCCATGAGGTTAGAGTCCCATATTATTTATTAATCTCTCTGTCTTCCATAGCTGTGAATGCAAGGCCTGCTTAGAATTAGTACTTAATTAGGACAAGTTGAATTCATTCCTGGAAATTCTGAGGGAATCACTCTGTTTATCCACATTACAGAGCTTAAGGAGGTACATGATTTATGAATGAGACTTCAAGGAAGGCTTCCAGATTTCTAATTTAGCACTAAGATCCCATCTGTTTAGTGTCAGACTTACAAGACCTGCATGTAATCCTCGTTGGACTAGGTAGGGATGAAGAGGATGCAGGCAAAGACCCTTATGCTACCAATTCAATTCAACATTTATCTAGTTCCTTCTACATGCCATATGTATTCTGTCATAATGGGTTCCAGAAGAATAGATTCAAGGGAGCAGGGAACTAACTCTGTGGCTTTGGTATACAGTATAATGTAGTGGGAATAGTGTTGGATTTACAGTTAGGTAAATACCTGGGTTCAAATACCTGTTCTGCTACCATATGACTTTGACCAAAATGACTCTAGGTCTCGGTCTCCTCATCTGTAAAATTAAGAGGCTGGACTTGATGATAGCCTCCAAGGTTCCTTCCACCTCTATATCTATGATCCTCTGTAACCCATTAAGTCCATCTACCCAGACAGCTGGATCTGTTGAATGCAGGCTTTCTTTCATTCTCCACTAGTCCCTAAGGGGAGCTAAAGCCTGTCAGGGTTGGGAGGCAGAAGAACCCAGAAGGGTGAGTCCTGCTAGTGTGAAAAGGAAAAGAAAAAGAACCAACTCAGAACAGTCTCCAAAAGCCCTTTGTTTTTACAGTGAGGAAAAAGAGAAGGGACTACTCCCTCATTTCCCTCATGCCTGCCTCCTCCTGTCCCCACCAAGTTGTGTTCCCCTCCCAGAAAGCTTAGAATTGTTTTTTTTTTTGGAGCAATCCCAAGACTATGTCAAAAATTTAATTAAAAAATGTACAGTCAGTTCCAGGCTGAAGCAAAACAGATTGAGGGTGAAGTGAATCCCTTGGCAAAAGGAGGGTGTTCCTGTCTTGGGGCAACTGCAACCTCTGAAGACTGATACAAGCCAAAGGCAGTAGATATCTCATTCTGTTTAGACAAGGAAAGTGAGGGAAGCCCACATTCAAAGAGGGAGGAGACCTGTGTACAGAAAGCCTGACTTCATCTTCTGAAGTCCTTCCTTCTCAGGTTACGTCTGTTTGCTCTGTATGTGTCTTGTGGCTGTCCAGTTTTTTATAAGTTGTCTCCCTCATTAGAACAGAAGATCCTTGAGGACTGAGGCTGTTTGTGTTTTTCTTTGCATTCCTAGCATGGTGCCTGGCACATAATAGGTGCTTAATAAAAGATTGTTTGGGCCCATTGGCCCATTGGTTTCTGATTCTGGAGCCCTGAAAAGAAAGGCCTCCAAAGGACTACCTTTGTATTTGAGAATTGAGAGCTTACAGAAAGCTTCCAGATCATTGAGTTCAACCTTTTTATTTTAGAGGAATAAAATAAAAGAGGAAACAGGACTAGAGAGATGAAAGGAATGGTCAATATCACACCAATTCTACCTTTTACAAAAGACCTTTCCTAATCACTTTCCCTCTTTCTTCTCAACTCCCCCACCCAGGGCCTTCCTTCTGAGATTCCCTTCTTCCTTCTTGATGTATCTTGTATGGTATATAGTGGTTTGCTTTAGAATATGGGCTCCTAGAAGTCAAGAACCATACTTTTTATTTTCTCCCTGGATAAAGGTTAGAGGTCCAGCAGCAGCTACAAAGCAGAATCCATATCTGAGATCTAAGGGCACCCTTCAGACTAGCATACAGGGATCACAGCACAGATAAGTGAGGAGCAGGAAAGAGCCATGCCACTTTCCACTCACTCACCTTTTCATCAGTATCAGAAATTATCACTCTAACTTCAATGTTCTTTCCACCCTTTCACAAATATCTAGGGAGCATCTCACCCAGTCTGAACAGTATCTGGTTCCCAGCCTCTTTACTCCATCTAATATTCTTCCTACCACTTCACAAATGTATAGGGAATATCTCACTGGAGCCTGAGTTCTGAGACTAGAGTTGGGAGATCCCTGACAGGCCCCATAATGAAGGCTAATTCCAGGCAGCTAGTCTTAAGGTAAGGGGAGGTGTGGCCAGAGTTGGATAAGTAATCTTATCAAAGAAAGCAAAGGTTAAAGACTCCTCTGTTTATTCCAGCTTATTAACCAAGATTTTACTGGGTATCATATTCAGCATGCCAACCAAGGATCCTATTCCCATATTTCCAGGTAAGCTATGCCAAGTGTGTCTCTTGCACCCCCCTGCTGCAGGTTAGAAAAAATCTGAGTCTATAAAGCTGTTTTTCTTTCTTGCTGTAGGTAAGTTATGGTGGGGGAACAGAGGAAAATTGTTAAGTAACTCTAGCCCCTACTTCCAAGAAGGCAAAACCACTGGAATGAAGCTGCCCATTCTCATGGTGCCTTCTACAGTTGACTGGCAGAGCCAACATGCTTGAACATTGTGCCAATCACTCTCATTGAGTGTCTATCCATGCTAAGTCTTGTAGAGTACCTGGCCTTTGCTTCCTAGTATGTCCTAATCTAAAGCTCCAAGTTGTCACACACCTGTCAGCCAGTTATTAAGTCTTTATTAAGCATGCCAGACACTGTGCTAAGCACTTGGGATACTAAGAAAGGCAAAAGGCTGTCCCTATTCTCAGGGAGCTCATAATCTATGAAGGAATCAACAAGCAAACACATATGTATGTATATAGGGTAAGTAGGAAATAGATTTAAGGCAACTAGATTTAAGAGGGATTGGAAAAAGGTTCATGTGGAAGGTGAAATTTCATCTAGGAATTGAAGGAAGTCAGGGAAAGGAGAAGGTAGAGATGAAGAGAGAGAGCATTCTAGGAATGGGGAGGGGGTAGCCATTAAAAATATCCAGAGCTTAGAGATGGAGTGTCTTGTTTGTGGAATAGCAAAGAAGCCAGCAGGATCACTAGATTGAAGAGTATGTGGTGCAGTATAAAATATAAGGTTAGAAAGGTGAGGGAAAGAGAGGGCTAGATTTAGAAGGCCTTTGAATGCCAAACAGAAGATTTTGTATTTGATCCTGGAAGTGATAAGGAACCACTAGAGTTTACTGAGTATGAGGTGGACATGGTCAAACTTGAGCTTCAAGAAAATCACCTTTGTGGCTGAATGGAGAATGGGCCAGAGTGGGGAGAGACTTGTGGTAGGCAGATCAACCAGCAGGCTATTGCAATAGTCCAGGTGTGGGGTGAAGAGGGCTTATACCAAGGTAGTGGCTGTATCAGAAGAGAGAAGGGGGTATATTTGAGAGAGATAACAAATGTGCAATTGATAAGCCTTAACAACAGATGGGGAGTGAGAGACAGTAATGAGTCAAAGATGATGTCTAACTTGGTGGACTGGGAGGATGGTGGTGCTCTGGACAGGGATAGTGAAGTTTGGAAAGGGGGAAGGATTTAGTGGGAAAGACAATGAGTTCAGTGGGACTTTGTAGGGAAAGTGAACAGAAGTGAGAGTTTGGCAGGACATGAAGGAATGCGGCAGTTACTGTAAGTCATTACCATTTAGCATGGTGTTTGGTACCTAGTAAGTTCTTAGTAAATTATTTTTTTTTAAAAAATTATTTATTTTTAGTTTTCCACATTCACTTCCACAAGATTTTGAGTTCCAAATTTTCTCCCTGTCTTATCATTCCCCCCACCATAAGATGGCATGCATTCTGAATATTCCTTCCCTTAATCTTCCCTCCCTTCTATCTTTCCTCCCTTTCTCTTATCCCCTTTCTCCTTTTATTTTCCTGTAGGGCAGGATAGATTTCTATACCCTATTTCCTGTATTTTCCCAGTTGCATGTGGAAACAATTTTTTTTAACAAGTATTTTTAAGACTTTGGATTCCAAATTTTCTCCCTTCCTCCCTCCTCACCCACCCTCACTGAAAAGGCAAGTAACTCAATACAGGTGATACATGTGTAATCATGCAAAACACTTCCATAGTAGTCATGTTGTGAAAAACTAAGTATATTTCCCTTCATCCTATCCTGCCCCCCCAATTTATTCTATTCTGTCTTTTGACCCTGTCGCTCTTTAGAAGTGTTTGCTTCTGATTACACCCTCCCCCAATCTCTTCTTCCCTCTATCATCCTTCTCCTCTCTTGTCCCCTTCTGCCTGCCATTTTCCTGTAGGGTAAGATAGATTTCCATACCCAATTGAGTGTGTGTGTTATTCCCTCCTTAAGCCAAATATTATGAGAATAAGATTCACTCATTCCCTCACACCTTCTCCCACTTCCCCACCACTGTAAAACCCTTTTCTTGTCTGTTTTATGTGAGATAATTTACCCCATTCTACCTCTCCCTTTTTCCTTCTGCCAGTATAATCCTTTCTCACCACTTAATTTTATTCTCTAGATACCACTCCTTCATTTTCAACTCACCCTGTGCCCTCTATCTATCTATCTATCTATCTATCTATCTATCTATCTATCTATCTATCTATTGATCTATCTATCTATTGATCTATCTATCTATATATCTGAATCTATATACATACACATATAATTTTTTCCCCAACTACCATAATACTGACAAAGGTCTCATGAGTTACAAATATCATCTTTCCATGCAGGAATGTAAACAGTTCAATCTTAATAAGTCTCTTATGATTTCTCTTTCCTGTTTACCTTTTCATGTTCCACTGGAGTCCTGTATTTGAAAGTCAAATTTTCTATTCAGCTCTGTTCTTTTCATCAAGAATGCTTGAAAGTCCTCTATTTCACTGAATGACCATTTTTTCCCCTGAAGGATTATACTCAGTTTTGCTGGGTAGGTGATTCTTGGTTGTAATCCTATCTCCTTTGCCCTCTGGAATATTATATTCCATGCCCTGCAGTCCCTTAATGTAGAAGCTGCTAAATCTTGTGTTATCCTGATTGTGTTTCCACAGTACTTGAATTGTTTCTTTCTGGTTGCTTGCAATATTTTCTCCTTGACCTGGGAACTCTGAATTTGGCTATAATATTTCTAGGAGTTTTCCTTTGGGGATATCTTTCAAGAGGTGATCGTTGGATTCTTTCAATTTCTATTTTGCCCTCTGGTTCTAAAATATCAGGGCAGTTTTCCTTGATAATTTCTTGAAAGATGATGTCTAGGCTCTTTTTTTGATCATGGCTTTCAGATAGTCCAATAATTTTTAAATTCTCTCTCCTGGATCTATTTTCCAGGTCAGTTGTTTTTCCAATGAGATATTTCACATTGTTTTTAATTTTTTCATTCTTTTGGATTTGTTTTACAGTGTCTTGATTTCTCATAAAGTCACTAGCTTCCAATTGCTCTATTCTAATTTTTAAGGAAGTATTTTCTTCAGTAAGCTTTTGGACTTCCTTTTCCATTTGGTCAATTTTGCTTTTTGGGGCATTCTTCTCCTCATTGGCTTTTTGGACCTCTTTTGCCATTTGGGTTAGGCTATTTGTTAAGGTGTTATTTTCCTCAGTATTTTTTTGGGTCTCCTTTAGCAAGCTGTTGACTTGTTTTTCATGATTTTCTTGCATCACTCTCATTTCTCTTCCCAGTTTTCCTCTACTTCTCTTACTTGCTTCTCAAAATCCCTTTTGAGCTCTTCCATGGCATGGGAATGATTCACATTTTTCTTGGAGGCTTTGGATGTAGTAGCTTTGACTTTGTTGTCTTCTTCTGGTGGTATATTTTGATATTCTTTGTCATCAAAGAAAGATTCTATGGTCTGACTTTTTTTGTGCCTTTGTTTGCTCATGATCCCAGTCAATTAGTTGAGTTACAAACTCTTTGTTAAGGTAGGGGTCTGCTTCAGTGTGGAGAATGTACTGTCCCAAGCTTCAGGGGCTTTGTGTAGCTGTTTTCAGAGACACTTCTAGGGACCTGTAAATTTTCACTTCTTCCAAGGTGGCATGATCAAGGGTGAGGTGTTTATTCCTTTCCTGGCCTGTGCTCTGGTCTATGAGTGACCACAAGTACTCTTTTTTGCCTTGGAACTGTGAGGAGGATTTTCTCTGCACCACCACTACAGGCTCCACGATGCCAGCACTCCTCCTCGCCCCAGGACCACCACCCAGAGCTATGACCCAGATCCAAGCATGGGCAAAGCAAGAGAATCCTGCACCAGCAGAGAGATCCCTGTAATCCCCCTCTGATCAGCCACCTGATTCCACCTCAGTCTGTGGGCTGGAAGCTTAGGAAGCAGCTGTCACCCCAGGGACATGTGTGGGAACTAGAGCTGAGACCGAGATTTTTTCTCTCTCACTGCAGTCACAGACTTTTCCCACTGACCTTCTAAGTTGTCTTTGGCATTTGTGGGTTGAGGAGTCAAGAAACCTCCACAGCTGCCTGTGATTCAGTCTTCTGAGGCCTGTTCCAGTTTTGCTGAGGCCTGGTTTGCCTGTGTGCCCATGCCAAACCGTGCTCTTCTCCCCACCCGATATGGTATACCTTTCTGATCAGTCATTCAGGCTGTTTTGGGCAGGAAATGTGTCCCACTCTGTCTTTTTTGTGGGTTCTGCTACTTTAGAATTTGTTGAGAGCCATTGTAAACAGGTATTTAGAGGAGTTTAGGGGAGAGCTCAAGGAAGTCACTGCTTTTACTCTGCCATCTTGGCTCTGCCAATAAATTCTTATTGACTAACTGACTGACTGATCAGCTCAAGCCCTGAAGCTTCAACAAGGTCAGTAGGAGTGGGTCGTAACTAGGTCCATATAGACAACAGGTCCAGAATTCCAGGAAGGTCAGATCAGGAAGTAAACATAAGGAACTTAGGCTAGGAAACTAAAGGGGAATAGTAAGGTAGCCAACTTGATCCTAAGCAAACAATTCAATTAAACATTCATTAAATATCTACAACGTTCAAGGCACCATCTTCAGTGTGGGGGATACAAAGACAAAAATGATATAGTTTCTGCCCTCAGTGAGCTTACATTCTTTTGCAGCCATTCAATATACACACTAGTGAGATTAAAGTAATTTGAGGAGGAGGAGAATGATAATATTTGGTGGGATTGAGATCAGACTTTATGGAAAGGGTGGTATCTGAGATGAACATTGAAGGACTATAAGGTCCTTTTCTGAGATTGCTATTGTGAGAGATAGAGCTGAGGAAGGAGTGATTTCAGGCATGGGGAATGGTCTGTGAGACATGTGAGACTGCACAGGTGAGAGCTGGAATATTAAGTTCAAGAGCTGCTAAGTAGTCTAGCTTGGCTGAATATAGACTATATGAAGCAGAGCAATATGAAATAAAGTTGTAAAGTTATCTGGAGTCATACTGTGAAGGTTTTAAAATGAAAATTTAGAAAGAAATTTGTATTTTTTCCTACAGCCAATAAGTATCTACTGAAAGTTTTTGTGTAGGGAGAGTGACATGATCATATTTATGTTTTAGGAATAGCTATTTGGAAGGTGTAGGGAGGATGAATTGAGAGGCTTACTAATCATAGCATCTCCAGTAAATAGAGCACATAGAGGGGGGTGGCCCTTAAGTTCAGCTGAGAACTACAGCTGAAGCACAATAGAAGGAAGAAAGAGGTAAAGTCCATACATTTCAAAAGAGAACTTTACTAACCACTATGCTCCCTTATAGATGGTAGAGATGGCTAAAAGAGGAATAACAGAGCTGTAGTCTTTCCTACAGATGAAAGGCTTACTAACCACATTATCCCTAGTGGATAATTGACAGTATGTTAGGTGACTCTCAAAATAACTGAATAGAATCTTATTCAGTTATTTTGTGTGGAATTCTATTCAGTTATTTTGAGGGTCATCTAGCATACTGTCATTATGTTAGAGGACTGATGTTAAAAATACCTTTAACTTTTCAGTAGAAAAGACGTGGACCATAGGAATTGAAAAAAGACCAAAATTTTCAGAAATGGTCTGTGAAGTAATTTGCTTTGCCTGATTATACTTATTTGGTATGGGGGAGGGTTGTATTGGTGGAGTGGGGATAGTAACAGTGGCAAGTGACAGTGATATAAAAACAAAATTACCATTACTAAAACATTTTCAAAGGAAAGATAAGATAACTGTAGCTGAAGAGCAAGTAGAAGAGACCTGATGTTAAGAGGGAGCAGCAAAGGTATCCAGAGGGAAGCAGCTGAGACACACGCCTGCCAAAGAGCACCACGAAATAGTGCCTGTCCAGGAGTAGATCCAGCACACAATAGAACAATGACATCAGGAAAAGACATCAGCAACTTTGCAGCACCAGAGGCATGAATAGCCCCTTTGCATATTTCTTCTGGCTGCTCCCTATGTATGGATGCTCTACATGTGATCCTATTCAAGTTAACTTTTCCCACTGAGTATGTGTATATTTGTGGGAGAATGAGCTCAAGGTTTATGGGGGGAAAGTTCTATTGTTGATATTATTACATTGCCATTTAATTAAATGCCTTTGTTGAGATCTAAATGTGTCGGTTGGCTGACTGGTAAAAATAAACACATCAAAATGGACCTCTGAGGCATGATTTAAGGAATATTCTGACTTACAAAGTCCACAGGACTGGAGATAGTTAAAGGAGGCACAGAGAAATGGAAACCAAGCCTCTACAGAATAAATCTGGGTGACTGGGATGAATCAGGATATTAGACACAAGGACCAGAAAAAGTGCTTGACACTGAATGCTATTAAATCAGGCACTTTCTATTGCCTTCCCCAAGCCTCAACATGTGGAAAAGCCTGAAACCCTAAGTGAAGGTAGATGGGTAAGGTCAGCTGGGGAGGGAGAGCAAGGCTTGACATAGTGTATTTCATCCCAGTAATAGGCAAGGAAACAGTAAACTGGAGAGCAAGGGACTGTTTCAACTTTTATCATTATATCATTATATCCCAAGAGCCTAGCACAACTGCAGAAGAGTTGGGTTTGTACCTATTTGGAAGGAGTTTCTTCATGAGGAGTTCTCAACATAGGTGGAATCACAGTGGGGTAGAATTAACAGAGTTAACAAAGACCTGAAGTTTTGGAGAAATAGTTCCTTTCCCCATGTTCTAGATAAGTGTGCTATGTCGCACTCAGTAACTCAATAGAGCAGAAGATGAAATGCATCTGAGACATAAGCATCATCTGGGAATACAAGTTCCTAACACCTTACTTTGTGGCACAGTGGAAAAACCACAGATTTTGGAGTTTCATAATCTAGTTTTGAGTTCAGGTTCTTCCACTTAGTAACCAGAACTTGTGCAAGTGACTTCAACCCTCTGATCCTCAGAGTCTTCCTTTATAAGTGGGAAACATTAAATTTGATGACTGTCCTCAGCTCTGACATTCTGTGCCTTTGCATCATTCCAAACTAATTCTAAAAAGACAAAAAAGGAGTAGAAATCCCCTGAGAGTGCTACCATTTTGGGATGATTTGAGGTGTTTACCTGCAGGGATAATGGCATGCTAGCAATTATGATATTGATACATATCAATGGAGCTGGGAATCTATTGCTGTGGGTTTTTTCTCCACAGGTACAGATTACAACCCTTCTATGCTTTCTCATCTTGTGTAAAACTTGTTTATAGCTTTCAATAAATAAACCTTCCTGTGTGTGCTGTCTCCTTCTTTTAGAAAGTGGGCTCTGTTAGCAGCAATGGTCATGTGTTTCTATTTGTATCCTTGGTGCTTAGCGTAATGTTTGGTACTTAATGAAAGCTAGAAAGTTTCTTTTTAAATAAAAATCAATCATTCATCCACTAATTTATTAATTCACTCATTCACTCATTCATTCATTCATTCATTCATTCATTCATTCATTCATTCATAAGTTCTCTGTAAAAGTTCTGTCCAAAATGCTGGCAATCTTCCTTTGGTTTCTTTAATATTTTTTTGACACCAGCACAGCACTGAGGCTGTCCATTTGTTATCTCTTCATTCTTCTGACATGACTCACCCGCTTCCTTTTCAGGTCATTTATGTCCTGGAAGACACCTTTTACACTCTTCCCCCAAGCAAATCTTCTTTGGTAATATAATAATTAGCCTAATTACACCCACCCTAGGTCCTCCCATTACCTCTGGGGTCATAGGCAATTTTGATTCTTTAGAGATCACAATGTTTCAGAATTTTCAGTACTATCTATAACAGAACCAGGAGAACATTGGTGGGAGAAAGACGAGCTTTTGTAGGGAGGATCATTGAAAATGCTATACAACTTCCTAAATGAGATTCAGATCATTTTTTTCCTATTTTTTTTTCTGGGCTTAGTTATTTTCCTCCTTCTGTGTCCGTCTAAAATGCTGTACTCATGGACTAGGTCAATAAGCTGCATCTCATTCCAGGCAAAATAACAATAATAACAACCCTCTCAAAGCTTAATGCATCATCCATATCTTGGAGGTCAAGTCAAGTCAAGTCAACAAACAGTTAATAATATATTCCAAGAATTGTGCTAAGTGCTGAGGATACAAAGAAAGGCAAACAGTCCTAGTCATCAAGATGCTCAATGGTCAAGCAAGGGAATGTCAACAGTCACTCTGTGTGTTTTGAGGCTGCTACAGTATATATATGAAAACCTGCAGAAACCCTGAAATGTCAGCCTGTTGGGCTTTGGTGATGTCATTGATTGATTGGGATAACACCTTATCCAGTGTGATGTAACTGCTTCTGTAAATCTAAGAAATGGATGGGACAGCAAAGAGTTACAGGTTGGCTCTTTTTAGAACTGTCATGGTGATCATGATGAGTACTAAAAGAAGTTGTGTTACTTTGGACCAAATCTGAAACACCAGTATTCCACTGGTTGGAAATGCTTTGATTTTGACAGCCCTAACCACATAATCAGGTAAATCATGAGTGTGCATGAAATGAATTGGAGATATAAGACTGCGACTGCTTTTGTTATGCACCAGCATTACAACCTACCACAACTGGAAATATTTGCGATTGAAGGTATGACCTTATAATGCTTCTTGTTGATAAGGAAGCTAGGTGGCATAATGGACAGAGTTCAAGGCCTGGAATAAGGAAGACCAGAGTTTAAATCCAACCTCAGACACTCATTAGCTGCATGACCCTTCACAAGTCACTTTATCTCCATATGCCTCAGTTTCTTTTTTTAAAATTAATTAATTTATTTTTAGTTTTCAACATTCACTTCCAAAAGCTTTTAAGTTCCAAATTTTCTCCCCATCTCGTCCCTTCCCCCACCACAAGATGGCATACATTCTGAATACGCCTTCTCCTAATCTGCCTTCCCTTCTATCTCTCTCCCCATTCTCTTATCCCCTTCCTCTTCAATTTTCCTGTAGGGAAGGATAGATTTCTATACCCCATTTCCTGCATATCTTATTTCCCAGTTGCATGTGAAAATAATTTTTTTTAACTTTTGTTTTTAAAACTTTGGGTTCCAAATTTTCTCCTTTCCTCCCTCCCCACCCACCCTCATTTGAGAAGGCAAGCAACTCAATACAGGTTATACATGTGTAGTCATGCAAAGCACTTCCATAGTAGTCATGTTGTGAAAAACTAAGTATATTTCCCTTCATCCTATCCCGCCCCCCAATTATTCTATTCTTTCTTTTGACCCTGTCCCTCCTCAGAAGTGCTTTCATCTGATTACACCCTCTCCCCCAATCTGTCCTCCCCTCTATTATCCTTTGGCTCTCTTGTCTCCTTCCCCCTGACATTTTCCTGTAGGGTAAGATAGATTTCCATACCCAATTGAGTGTGTATGCTCTTCCCTCCTTAAGCCAAATCCTATGAAAATAAGATTCACTCATTCCCTCTCACCTTCCCCCATTTCCTCTCCACTGTAAAAGCCTTTTCTTGTCTGTTTTATCTGAGATAATTTATCTCATTCTACTCTCCCTTTCTCCTTCTCTCTGTATAATCCTCTCTTGTCCCTTAATTTTATTCTCCAGATATCACCCCTTCACCTTCACCTCACCCTGTGCCATCTATCTATCTATCTATCTATCTATCTATCTATCTATCTATCTATCTGTCTGTCTGTCTGTTTGTCTTTCTGTCTATCTATCTATGTCCGTCTGTCTGTCTATCTATCTATCTATCTACATATACATATATTTTATTCCCTCCAACTACTCTAATACTGACAAAGGACTCATGAGTTACAAATATCATCTTTCCATGCAGGAATGTGAACAGTTCAACCTTAATAAGTCTCTTAAGATTTCTCTTTCCTGTTTACTTCTTTATGTTTCTCTTGAGTCTTGTATCTGAAAGTCAAATTTTCTATTCAGCTTTGGTCTTTTTCATCAAGAATGCTTGAAAGTCCTCTACTGCACTGAATGACCATTTTTTCCCCTGAAGGATTATGATCAGTTTTGCTGGGTAGGTGATTCTTGGTTGTAATCCTATCTCCTTTGCCCTCTGGAATATTATATTCCAAGCCCTGCAGTCCCTTAATGTAAAGCTACTAAATCTTGTGTTATCCTGAGTGTGTTTCCACAATACTTGAATTGCTTTTTTCTGGCTGTTTGCAATATTTTCTCCTTGACCTGGAAACTCTGGAATTTAGCTACAATATTCCTAGGAGTTTTCTTTTGGGGATCTCTTTCAGGAGGTGATCAGTGGATTCTTTCAATTTCTATGTTGCCTGCCTCAGTTTCTTAATCTGTAATACAGGGATAACAATAGCACCTAACTCCCAGAATTGTTGAGAGGATCAAAGAAGATCAAAACTGTACAAAATAGGTAGTAAGTGCTATATAAATGTTAGCTATTAAATTATTATTACATTCTGAATTCCAAGTTGTATAAAGATTTGAGAGAATCATGAGAACTAACTCCATTCTTTTTTTTTGGGGGGGCAATCAGGGTTATGTGACTTGACCAGGGTTATACAACTAGTAAGTGTTATGTGTCTGAGGTCAAATTTGAACTCAGGTCCTTCTGACTCCAAGGCTGGAGCTCTATCCACTGCACCACCTAGCTGCCCCAACTAACTCCATTCTTAAAACCACATTAGATAAAATAAGAGCAGAAATTGGGCAGTACTAGAATCTAAAGAGAGAAAAGCAAAAGAACCTGAAGGCATTGAACATCTACTCTTAATTCAAACTCTAGAAGTGCTACCTAATAATGAGGCAGATGACAAAATAAAGCTCACGTCTTAAATGATTTTAAAAAGGAGATGGCCTACTTAGAATGGAATTTGAAAATGACCTTATTTGAGTCTGATGACATGAATCCTACTATATCAATGGAGAATTATTTAAAAAGCTGGTATCTGCTATAATCATCACAAGTGAATGTATTCTCCCACAATATTTGATAGAGAATGTAAAAACATTCACCACTTGAACATAGGTCCTATGGCTTTTGACAGTATAAGATCATATGAAGAAGAGAAGGTATCTAGGAATACTCCTAAAAATAACCATAAAATACAACA